AAAAAAAAAAGAACATGATTTTTTTTGATGAATCTCGTAGCAAATAAACAGTATTTTTCTGCCTAATGTTAAAAATGTTTGGTTTAAAAAATGCATTAATTTTTTAGCAGCATTAATTTTTAGTTTATTATTTCGGCGATGTGGCATCAGTTAAACCCCCAAAGATTTTATGCTGGATTCCTACTATCAAAGAAAACCATAAAACAAAAGCTGCAGTTGTTAAGAAAACCTGGTGTTTCAAATGTGACAAGTTAGTAACCAGTATTCATTTTAAAACTTTGCCTACACTGCTAATATTTTACTGCTTCTAATCATCCTACTCTTATGAGCTTCAAAGTTCTGAACTGTTTACTAGTGCACACATTACAGAATCACCAACTGTTTTGTAAATGCTTATACTTAAAAAAAAGGTTCTTTTGAAAAAGAAAACAAGATTATTTGAAAAAAGGAAGTTTTAGCAGCGATATTTCTAGATTTTAAAAGATATTCCTGTAGTCTAATAAAGCTGGTTTTTTCCTTCGTTTTGTCTTCCTTTTTGCACAAACATTCTCTGATTTATCGCTGCTGGAAAATTAGTAGAATATCTGTACAAATTGAAGTATTTTTAACCTTAAAAGCTTTATGAACATACCAGAAATTCAAGATAAAATTCGCAAGTTTTTTTTATCAGTACTCATGTCACATATATTTCGTAGTTATCACCGAAATTATCATTTATAAAGAATAAAAATCTTGCTTTTAGTTCAATTTCTTTCCTCAAAAATGTATGAGTTGTGTAAACTGCAAAACGAGTAAAAAAGAAACCGAAATTTCATTTTACATTTTTTTTACTGTCCTTTAGATGTATCTTTATGTCATCCGAAACCGAAATTACACTGCCGGCAGTAACGTTAAATATCACCGAAGGAAAAGATTATCTGTGGGGTAAAACGAAAGCCGCATTTAAATACATTTATGACCATAATTACACTTCTTACGATTGGTACTTTAAAGCTGACGACGACACATACGTCATCGTTGAAAATCTACGGTAAATGCTATTTTAATTTCTTATAATCAGAAGCCTATCATTTTTTCAGATATTGCTTTTTCCAGTTTAAAATAATACTAATGAAAAGACGTCTTTATCTTCACTCTGCGTTAATCAACAAAAAAGCATGACATTTTATAAAAATGCTAGACATTAGAGTTTTTTCAGTTTCCTCGCAGTCTGAGCAACAAGAGCTTTAGCTATAGAAAAATTATGCAATTTGAAAAAACTCGCAAGGTTTCTAACTCAGAGATTTCTGCAGCATAGT